TTAGCAAACAGGGCTTGAGAAGTACCATTATAGTTGGCCAATTACTGAGAGACACCGTGAAAACCATTTTGTTCCGCTCCCTCGCCCCCCCGTCGACGTCATCACCCATCCCTTCGTGTCCGATGTCAATTGTACGGACTTTACGTATACCCTTCCGCAATACTGGCTATCTTCTTTGCTGTTGCCCCAGTCAACCAGTGTTGTTCTATTTCCTAGTCACTCTTGATGATTAAAGCTCAAACTGGTTGATCTCAAAATAGTTTTGTCTTTTCCCTTGGTGAAGTGACACTAGTGATTGGGCATAGCATTATCTGCCGGCCAAATAGGATCCGTCTTTCTTTGCCATGATCAATCTACCTTTAAGTGGAATTCTGTCACCACCTGCCCAAAATGTTCCCTTACTCAGGCGGCTTCACTGTACCATAATTTGGCTGTCTCTTCTACTCCCCCGACTTGCCCAGATCCGGAGTCCACAAGTGCTTTCCAGTTGGCTCGCCGTCTTTAAGAATCCGCCCATCGAGGGCAGTCGCTCTGGTGGCACACTAATTTTCCGCTCACTTCCGCTCTCCATTTTTGGCGAGCGGAGTTGCAATTTGCTTATAAATGCCTGCTTCAGCTCATCCATCATGCTCCGAATTATTGGCATCCGAACCGTTAATTTTAGCCGCTCTTGATGCAACCCCCTCCTGTCTTTCTTTCTTTGCCTTGGAAGCATCAAAATCGCTGCAACTACTGCCATCACAAATATAATTTTCATCATTATGATAATTAGCACTCTGGCACAGCCTCCATTATCATTATCTATATGAACTCGCCTTTTTACGAGCACTCTTGGCTGAAGCTGCAAGTGGGCTAGTTTTTCAGTGATTTATTTCAGCTTTTCGGCGGTAAAACCGAGTAAACCTCGATGGCATCACAAGACATTTTTATCCTTTGTATGAGGTGTATTGACTCTGATTTACTATGGGAAGCTCAATCGTCAGGTGGCCTAAGGTGACCTTGATCCTTATTGAAGATCTACTGGTAATTCTGAGCCATACTCATTTTGTCTGTAGTAATATGTCTGCGTTTAGTGAAAAATATGAGCAAGCCTTATCGACGTCAGCCCCTGGAAGTTACATTTGCTTCGCAGCCACCTGGGCTAGTGACAACGTGCAGCTTAGCATGGATGATTTATTTTCAATTCCAGACGAAAATGGTACAGTGTGATCAGGCTTTCAGCCACTCTAGGTTGCACATGTTAATTAAGTTGATGATAATTGAATTTTTCCTACTCATTTCACCGCGGGAAACTCGACCACCGAGCCTTGCTTAACAAAACGATCCGAGCGGGGCATGGATTTTATAGGAAAAGGCTGCTGAACACGAAGTAATCTGACATTTGTAGAAATAACATGGCTCCAGGCTCGCCCCGTTGGATGTCTCACTTGTGCCAACCTCTCCTTGAGAGACCGAATTTAAAAGTGTACTTCACAGACCCTGGTTTTCCAGGCTTACTGGATAGCAACTTTTCTGCCTTTATCGAATGGGAAGGATCAGACGGGAGATCAGCCTGGGGCGGCTTAGTCCAGAAGACTATCTGTAGAAGTTGCCAGTGGCAGGTAACAGCATCTTTGATGACATTCTTTGTAGAGTTACAATTAATTTAATCTTATCAGCCTACCACGGCTTCGACGCACTCAGAAGATGTTATCTTTTTCCATACTACATTCAAATGGCAATATTGTGTCCTTACGAAGTGTAACCAGGTATCAGCAGAAGACGATGGCTGGTTTCCGTTGCTCTGTCGTTAATTTATTTTATGCTATTTTGACTGTCCGGCTGATGCATGCGATGAGAAATCCTTCTTGTGTTTAAGAGAAAAGCGAAGAAAAGTTGGATTTCGAGGAATCTCTTGTTTCATACTTGTTGAGCTTACCTCGATTTCGAGTAAAGTGTTGGGTGAAGATATTCGAAGGTCAGTTCCACCAGAAGACGACGGCGGATCCCTCTTGACCAGCTGTCGATTGGCTTTACTGG